GCAAATCATAAAGACACTGGAAGGGAAGAGGTGAGTCGCAGGAAGGAGACACAACCGCGGGCTTGTGTTCCAACGATCGTGTCTCCTGCTCAAAGACGCTGGAAATTATTACATTGTCCTGCTTCTGCATTGCTGATTTATTTTTTAGAATTCAAACAGTTGTGGAGGGCTGTGAGTGTTGAGGGAATGCATGAAGTCAAGATAGAAGAGTATCTACGGCGCAACGGCATCACCTCCATGTCTGCAGACAAGAAAATCTTTGTAAGTTAACCCTTCCCTCTTTTCTGTGCTTGCAAGGCGTGCCAGCATCAGAATTGAAGTCATTACTAAATTATTGCTACTGTTGATCAGTTAGTAGAGCATTCCAATGTGTGTTTTTTGTGCGTCCTCCAGACCCTGGCGACCAAGCAAAAACGGGCCGGACAGAAGCGAGCCTCAAATCGTCCTGTTAAGCTGAAGGATAATGAACATCTGCAGGACATATTGAAGGATTTCTCGCAGAAGTGACGCAACCTTTTGTATAAACATCTCCTTGTACATTGTCTTTCATGTGTATAATCAACAAAGGTGATTTGTTCTACTTGATTGTGGCCTTCTTCTGATCAATTGTGTGACTGGTTGTTAAGCCGAGCATAAACTTAGCCTTTATGGGTCTCCAGAATGTTTTTACGCCAGGGAGGGTCTGCATTTAGAGATCTTACTGTCTACCCGCTTGCGTCACGCGACTGTTGTCATAGCGTCTCGGTTGAACGGGAACGTACTTGCAAAAGGAGGAAGTTGTTTGATCGATTTCGTAAATAGTAGTTAGGACAGGTTAGTAAACTTGACAGTAAGCTCTAAAATGCCTCGGCCGGACATTTGCAACTAACGACGTTCAAATATATATTTAGTCCGGCTTATATGCTGCCAACGCACCAGCTTTGTGGTCCCTTTAGTCCTTGTTATATGGACAAGGCAGTTTTAACTCCTGGAGTTGACATCATTAGTTTGAACCTAATCTAATAATCGGGATCGGATCACGGTAGCGCCAATCGCCAAACTCACACTATTCATTTACATCTCCACCGTCTTCTCTTCCACAGGGTCGGAGACCTGAGACTGCCGAAGTGTCGGGTTCGCCACAAAAATGTGCCTGTGGCAGCACTTCAACTGTCTTCAAATCTATGCGCTCTCCGTTGGCTTTACCCATCTCTTTTATCGGCGGACTAGAGGATGTTTGCGTCAGACGATACAAGTGCTGGAACCCTTTATGGAGAGCAGAAAATTTAAATTATTTCAATGAAATGTTTTGCCTTCTGAGTGCATCTGTCTCGTGAACCTGTGCAATGCCCACCCTACACATATCTACAGTTTTGGTACGCTTATGGCGATTTAACCTATCTTGAAGGTGTATTTTTGCCAAGAAATCGATGACGTTTTTGTAGAAAAGCCATTTGCCGGGGTACACAACTGACGATTCAAAGTTTTAACCTGGCCAAATTGGGTGCCAGCGACAAGGAAAGTGTAAACGCTGGGCTACCGTTGGTGTTCCGTTCAGTTTTATCAAAAGAGAAGGATATGCGATAGCTTTAAACTCCGTGTGTATGTGTTTCAAAAGGTTCAATAAAATACATCGATACATAGAGAACATTGAAAAGGAAATCAGTTTCATAATTGAGTGCGACAAGCAAGTAATTGTCCCTAGGACTAAGAGGATAAACATGATGACGTACTTTATTATTACAAGTAGTGTGCTCATAAGGGATTGAAATATAGCCCATTTGGTTTATGTGTGTTTGTGTGTGTCACTGGCAATTGAATACCCATTCTGTTATGGATATTCAAATTCGTCTTTAAACCTTAAGTTAAATAAGTAAATCTGTACGCTAAGGAATTAAGTACGTACCAAGTGTTTGCAATCAGGACCTCTCACGCGAGAGAAGAGTTTGATCCTCGGTACTGTAGGGATTCCAAGTAGGGTCTGAGAAAGGTCCTTACGTATTATAGCGATCTACTTAAATGTTTCAAGTAGGTTGAATTACCCATAATCTTCCAGTTTTCTACACGCCATCCGTCGATCCAGCAGGGATTCGATGATGGCATTAAACTTCAGGGCGGTCCTCCGAAGGTCACCGCATACCATAACCGTATACAGTATACTAAGCGAAATTAGCCTTTTAAATTAACCAATGGAATAACCGCTTACTTACAAAGTTTAAGTAGGGTGATTTCCACAATATTCCACTCTGTACTTCGTTAACCTTTTCTCTAGTTGGTGTTGGTGGTTCCACTAGAAAATCAGTCAGTCAGTATCAGTCAGTATATTTGGAGTAAATGACCGAAGCCC